CAGAGTGGACTGTTTCAGTTCTCCCTGTGTGGCCGAAAGGTTTTGGTTGGTAAGAATGAACTCAAATTGTACTTCCATGAATTGCAGATGTTTCCAAGTCGTCTAACACAGCAAAGGAGAAAAGAACAGTTGCCTCTCATATCAGAAGAACTAGACTTATGGATGGGGAAGGTGGGAATCCACTTCTTATTACTTGTGCTTGTAACTGAGAAGGGTTTCTTGGTTGCCTCTGGCAGAGGAAAGGGATTATGGATTTGAATTGGATTCCGACTCATCTGGAAACCAAGGTTATGGAGCTTCTCTACAGTCAGATGCATCTCCCCTTAAGCCCTCCTCGGGGAACTTGGATGAGCCAGATGCAGTTACCAGTTTACCCACGGCCAGTGACATCTTGGTGTCCTATTCAACGTTTCCAGGTGAGTTGTTTTTTTTTATGAGGGAGGCAGTGATGCCAAGTGAATAGAGCAATGGATGACAATAACACTTGGCTTCTGTTCCTGGCTCTGCTGGTACCTTAATGGGGGGCTTTGTATGTGTCACTTCCTCCTACCTCAGTTTCTCCATCTAGAAAATGTGAAGGGTTATAGGTACCCCATTCATAATGAACTCTTGAGAGCTACAGGTGAAAACAGTCCTGCACAAACTAAACAGTATGAACATTGGAACATTTTTATTTTCATTCCATGCCTATTTCTTTTGGTGCGTGACAGTGCTCCATACTTTCAATGGAGAATCTCATAGTCCTTTACAGACAGTATATGAGAAGCCACTGTCTGAAGAGTTGTTATCCTCGTGTCACAGGTGGAAGTAGCTGAGGCACATGAAGGTTTTGACTTGCTCCAAGTCAGTCAGTAATACAGGCCCTACTCACCCACAAAAAAGAGGACTTCCAGGCCTGGGTTTAGAGAAACTTCTCCAGAGAGTGGAAGTATCATACCAAGGAGACTTCCCTTGCTGGACTGAGAGAGAAACATTTTTATATTCTTTCCAAAGGATTTGTCTCCTGGAGGGATCGCAAGAGTGGCAGCTGGTTTGTGGAAACCCTGGATAGAATACTTGAGCAATATGCTGATTCTGAAGATCTGCAGAAGCTGTTGTTGCGGGTAAGTGTTCCTTTTTTCTGATTTAGTGCTTCAGTTACTCAGTCTTTGAACTTAGTCTGCCTGTTAAGGCCTAAATTTCCAAAGTGACTATTGATTTGGAGAGCTTCAGTTTTTACATGCCCAATGGATGGTGCCTTAAAGGGACTTGATTTTTCAGAACATGAAGAATACCCTCTCACTTCATCAGGTCCCAGCAAGGTTTCTTTAGACACTGCTAGTTCCCCTTGAAAAACTATCAGCTTTAATCTTTGCTTAAGAGCCTATAATCCTGCCAGTGGCCAAAATGTTACCTGTCCCTGTGATACCAAAAGTACCAATGAGTTGGAGCAAGCAGCTACAGGCAGAATGATAAGTGTATTGCTATTTATATTAAGGAAATTATGCTAAGGAAGACTTGCTTCACTGATAATGTTGAGAGCTCTTCGACTGCCTCTTTAATTTTACACGCTCTGCTGCTGCGGTGACATTTTGTTTAGTCTTTAAGAATGTCAGCATTCTGGAAAACCGCACCAGATGCTCGCCTTTAATACTGCTTTTTATCTTCTGAGTGACGTAATCACATCTTAACTAGCGGCGTGAGATATAAGTGTGCGTGCTAATGAAGCGCTAAGCTTTGCTATATAGTCAGTGTTGGGAATGCAGAAGTTCTTGGAAATAACTCCCTATTTTGCTGCATCTCTGGTGCAGTGCAGTGGGATAGCATAGAAATCCATTTGGGTTGCTGTCAGATGTGTTGCTATCTGGGTTTTTGTTCTGTGCTGTCCAACAAAGATCAGTAGCTTACCTGATATTGTGTACTCTGCATACACTTGCAGCTCCAATTGTATTTTTTTTTTCCCTTCTGAAACTAGGCATATGCAATTCTTGTATGACAAATTGCTGATGTTTTTGGAGTTATGGTAATAAAGCACATCCTAAACTGCCTTAGGAATTGTTCCTATGTTCTCCTCAGCCTCCTTCTCCCCTTTGAAAGTTGGTACCAAAAAACACCCATTGATGTAATTGGTGCCATGCATGATCCTGCTTTCTAAAATGGAGGACCCAGTTCTTTGTGGAAAGGGGAATGTTTTGAAGTAATTCAATGCCAGTGGAAGCTTCTTGTGGAAGTAAGAGGGGCTCCTAGGAGTACGCCCGAAGAAAGGGGGCTCATATAATTCATGCTTCTGAATGAAAGAACTTTCACTCCCCATAAATGGCACAACAGAGCTTTCTATTTTTAACAAAACTGCATGCCAGTGTCGACGCGAAGGAAATGACTAAACTTCTCCTGTGCTCAGAAGAACTATTTCTGATTCAGACAAAGCACTTGTTGCATAAGCTTGGTGAGAGGGAAGGGGGACAGGAAGGTCAGCTCTGAAGGTGGCTTCCAGAAGTGAGCATCTGTTGCGGAGAGTGAGGAGGCAGGGGAAGAGGTGCTCAGTTCTAGAAGCAGCCTACTAACTGCTGCAGTCCACATCTGAGTCGTCTCCTCTCTCCTACTGTGTACAGTTCTGCTTGCTGCCCCTGCATTCAGTCCTCAATAAGGCCGTAAGCTGTGCTTGATCAGCAAACCAGCCAACCTCTTTATTTTCCTTCCTCTCTTTCCCAGGTGGCAAATGAAGTGTCTTCTAAAGAAAAATACAAGCAGATGCCAGGCTGCTATCACTTCCTTCGGAAATGGTTCTTCTTCATGACCAAGTGAAACCCAGGCTTGGAGGTCTCTCCTGTAAGTCAGGATTGTCTCCAGCAGGCCTGAGGACACCCCACACATGGCCATGGCTGCTCTGATTTGATTCTGTATTCAGCTGCTCCTGATTTGCATGTGTCCTGGGATGTGCGGTTGATTAACTCCCATGTTACTATGAAATGGAGGCTTTGCTCCCTTTCTGCTCAGAGCAAGACTGTTGGATTCCAGATCCAGAACATTTCAGGCAGGTGACAGCCTGTGGGATAATTCTGGGCTAGGCTAGTAGCTGCAGCCTTTGAGTCTATCTCCCTGTTCTTCAGCAAAAAGTGCCTTGAGCTGATTTAGGCTTTATGCTGGCTTTGTCCACTTTTGACCTGTGATTGCAGCTCCCTTGTGTGGGAGGAGGGGAAGATGAAGTGTTTGTATTGTATAATCAAAACCTTTTGCACTATGAATCAATGACATGCACCTGAATCCAAATGCTGTGGGTTGGGGCAGGGGAGAGTTTTACAGCATTTGTTACCTTTTTCTATTAAACTCATCATCTTTGTAGACAGTTTGTCTTGCTCTTTACTTATTCTCATCTCCCCTGATCTTCTCTTCTGCAGCTGGCCTGGCATCCCCCAAACCTCTCTTAGCTACAGTGACTGGCTTCTCCCACAAGCAGGGAGAATAAAAGCATTGCTGTGTCACAAAGCATATTTTGCAGTCTCTTGAATTTCCCACTATTGAATGATTGCAGCTGCAACCATTCAGACTTGCTAGGAACACCAGCCAGTCTGATGATTGAGGTCCAACTGATTCTATTTAAAGAAAATCAGAATATTTATTCCTGAGGCTACTGTTCGAAGAAGAAATTAAATTACTTTTCCTCTATAACAGACTCAAGGTCTTTGTCTTCTATCAAATATGATTGCTTTTGTATACAAGCTCAAATAGCATATGTGCAACTTTTTTTTTCCCCCTTTCCACTACAGGGAGAAAAATAACACAGCTGTGGTAAATGGAGTGATATTGAGCTGGCATATGTCATAGGGAACTGTGGAGCACCTGACAGAGCTAGGAAAGATGAGACAGGGCAGGAAATAGCTCAAGTCCTAATGGTTTCCCCATATTTTGGCCCTTCAGCATGATGGAATTTGTACTCTAAAAAGTCACAGAAGTGTTCACTGTTCTGAGCTCTCATTGTTCTTCTACCACTTCCTCTGCCTTAATTGCAGAGGTAGGTGAGGATCTGGCCTCTCTTAACTTCCTTAGTCCCTTAGTTTCTAGAAGCAACAACTAGATACTCATGGTTGCAGGCTGCAATGATTGATCAGTCATCTGGTGTTTGCTTTCTGGAGCAGCAGAGCTCCTTTGATTAATGGGATTGGGGTGGAGGTGACCTTCAACCCTTCTAGTTCATTTTCAGTGGAGAGTTCCTAGCTCAAGGTGGAGCAGGTGAATTTATATCTTTGTCCTAGTCCCTTGGGGATATGAGGAAATTGTAGCAAGAAAACAAGCACAGGCTTTTTTCTTCTCTGAATATACTCATGGAGCTCCTACTCACTGGAGATTGATGGGGTGTCAAGGAGATGCAAGTGCTGTGGGCTTTATTCGCCTTGAAAGGGTCTAAGTGCATTGGGAATTGCCATCAGTCTCTAAAAGCCTACCTCTATTTCCAAGTGGCTTTCATATAATTTGCTACTGCTAGCGGCCTGCTCTTTGGACAGCATTCTCTGCAAGGTTGTTTGCATACAGAGTGCCGTGGGCAGACAAGATACAGAGAGTGTAGCATCAGATCACTGAATAGAGGGAATGGCTGGGGGTTCTGTGCGTCTTGTGAATTCTGTGCCATGAGACTGTCATGTTACTTGGGGATCCTGTAGTTCTTGTGCGGTCAGTTCAGGCACAAGGGAAAGAGTAGTGGGCAATGGGAAGGATGCAAGAGAAGATGCAGTGAGAAGGGAGAATGGGGTTATATATCTCTCCTATCAGCTTGATCCTACTCTGCACCATTTTTTCAACCTCAGCTTTTATTTCATGGAATAAATACTCCTTTGCAGACTTTCCTGCAGCAAGGCAACCTCCTTCCCTCCTATTCCCTTCCTTCCCCAGGGACACGCATTATCCATGCATTGCAAAATAGATCTTGGGGATTTTTTTGCTTTGCTTTTTACTTATACACAAACTCCTCCAACACATCAGCTGTGACTTCAGTTTCCCGATGCTGCCTTTATTTCAAACTGCTTTCGTTTCTGTGGTCCCATCTTGGTGCATTGCCCAGGTCTCTTTGGGTTAGTATTTTTGCATAACCTGCAGAAAATACAGAACAAAGCACAGATCAATCTGGCAAACTAAGGGAATCGGCAAACACCATGCTGTACATCCAAACTCCATAAATCCTACCTTTTAAATGCGCATTTAAAAGTCCTATAGTGTTCTCTCTGCTTGAATAAATAAGACAAGTACTCAGGTCACCTCTTCTATTTAGGAGGATACCTTTCTAGATAGCAAATTATTGATGATAATATCAGAATATCATAGATGGGAGCAACCTGTGTTGTTTTCTCATGATGCAATTGTTACAGTCTGGAAGCTTATAAGAAGCCTATTGTAATATCTAACAATTGATAAGCAATTTCCTAAAACACCTTTATTATGAACCCTTTAAAAGGTGATCAGTATATCCTCAATATAAAATGTGCAGAGCTTTCTCCCAGTGTTGGCTAGAAATGAAAATCACTTGGCACGTTGCTCAGGAGAAAGGTGCCTATCCTGTCCCGCAAGAACTAATGTATATCAGGCATCTCTCTTGTCTGGCTCAATATTTTGTTTGAGTGCAGTTATTCAGGAACAAGATCAGCTTGGAATTGAAAGAACAGTAGCTGTTCAGAAAGGTCCCTGAGGCAATGATAAGAGTAGATCTGTATCTTATGGGGTGTAGCACACAGAAGGAGCATGCCCTGCTTCACTGTAGCAATCCCTGCTGTGGCTCTTTTCCCATGTAGATGTGCCCTAAGAGTCTTAAGTCAGAAGAATACCTGTTCTGGGCAATTTCCCCTTTGAGACAAGCCCTTTAAATTGAAATTGGGTTATTTTAACTACTTGGCAATGCCAGTTTTACAAGTTAACAAAGCAGAGCTGCTCTCCTGGCGGGTAGTAGAGACGAGAGCCTTACGTTGCTGATCCAGTCGTTGAAGGCAGAGACACGGGTGAAGACGGAAGGCTTGTGGTAGTAATTGCAGCCCAGGGAGGAGCCAAAGCTGACTACACCATTCACTTCCCAGTTGCCGTCGGCACGTTGACAGTTCAGTGGGCCACCGGAGTCCCCCTGTGAGGAAGGAGAAGCACCATTTATTGGTGGTCCTGGCATGGAAAAGCCATGTCTGTCTTTGTGGCAGGAGAGACGCCATCACTGGCCCAGCTTTATCGTAGAGCTGGAGATGGGACAGGGTAGTGAGACCAGAGCCTGAGCATGGGCCCAGTCGCAGATGAAAGGTCTCTGTATGGGCCACAGAAGATGCGAACAAGCATCTACCAAATATTCCTTGGTGAGATCAGCTGACATGAGTGGTGGGGAGAGGCTTCAAAATACAGCTAACACCAAAGGGCTCCAGCCCCCCCTACCAATGCCCAAGTCTGACTTCAAAGCCAAGCTCAGAAGTCCCATGGTCCTCAAACTCACATTGCAGCTGGAGATCACCCCATCACCGCCAGCACAGATCATGTTGGTTTTCACTACGCTCCCCCACCAGTCAGGGCTGGAACAGATTGAATAAGGTACCACGAGCAAATGGCCTTGCTGCAATACGTCTGGGAGGTCACCGTTTGCTGGAGGAGAACAGAGACAAGGGAGTTGCCTTCCCACAGATAATTCAAGAATCAAGCAGAGATTGTAGGCAACCCCCCTTGCAAGACAGGATTTGTGGTTCCTCCAGGGACAAGTCACCGGCGAGTCTATGACAAGGGTAGTGGCCAACTCCAGTCCCTGCTGTATTCCTCATTGAGGGGAATGTCTCAATTAGACTCAAAATCCTCATTCCATTACAAATGGTTCTTCAGTGAAGCAGTGATGTGGACGAGAGAAGCTGATGGGCCAGTTCTGGCCCTTACCACTTGAGGATCAAGCATAATAAGATGACCAAGTGCTGCTTTTCACCCTCTGGTGATGCCCTCAAATCAGGAAGGAAGCACAGGGGCGAGGTGGCTGTGGGAGCCTGCCCTCATTTACTTGTGCATCAAAAGACTTCCCCTTTGGGGCTCTATCGGCAACATTAACTGGCGTTTCACTCCTTCCACTGGGCGTATTAGCACTAATCGACCCAGCAGCCTTCTTTGTATTTCAGGTGCACCCTGAGCCCTTACACAGGGTCAGAGTCCTATTGTGTGAGCAAAACGTTCTGCCATAGAAAAATCTCTCTGCTACGCGAATGAAGCTAGAGCCAGATCAAATACCTTCTCCCCCTGAGGAGGCGCTGGCCACTGACTAAACCTCAGTCCCAAAGCAGAGCTTAATTCCAAAGGGCTTTATTTCATTATTCAGCTATATAGGCACTTACTCTGCAGCCTTCCCCATCCTGTCACGTAGCAGATGGCTTTCTCGGTAAGGATGCTGCCTGGTGTGGGGAGGCAAGCGAGCTGGATTTTATCGCTCAGTTGGACGTGCTGAGAGAGTTTGATCAAAGCTATGTCGTACCTGCAAAAACATTAGGGGGTCAGAGGAAAGGCATTAGTGCTTCGTGCTTACAGAGCTGTTCCCCCATTTCAGAGCAAACAACTGGCCTTCAAGGAGCAAGGCCAAGAACAGCCCCCAGACCTCCGCAGGCGGTTCCATCACTTCAGACTTCAGGCACTGCAGCTGCCCCAGAACAGAGTTGCCAGCTGGCTAATTGGCCTCAGCATCACCTGGAGCTGAAAGGCACCGGCTAACGAGCTGCTCCCAGGCACAGCACTGCCTGGGATGTATGCGGAGGCATTGCTTCCAGCACAGCAGGTAGCCTGGGGTGATCTCCTGACCCAGAAACAATTACAACTCTGTGCCCACTGCACCAGGCAGCGTCAGACAGCATCCCCGCAGCAAATGCAGCAGAACCAAAGGTAGGATTGACCGTCTTCCAGCTCTCTGCTGAGCAGCCCTTGATGGGCAGCTGCTCACCCGTCTGGCTCTGATGCAGTAAGGGACCTTTGGCCATCTCAGCCATTGCATGGTTTTCTCTTCCCCTAAGTAAGGCATTGCTTCATGCAAATCCAGGGTCAAATTCAGGCATGAAGATCCCCATGCTCCATGAAGAAATCCATGGAGCCGTGTCTTCCAGCACAGAGTTATTTAGTAAGGCTCAGCCTGTGTGGAAAGCACTACAAGCACAGTCTGTGACAGCAAGGGTGAAATATGTCCAGGGCCCTGAGAGCTTTGAGCTCCTTCATTCAAAGTTGCTGCTTTTTTTCCCCTGCCCACAATGGGTGATATTCCCTCAGCTGCTCAGCCGGTCCCCAGATTGCTACCCACACCGTGGCTGACAGCTCCATCTCTTCCAGAACAGTCGGGAAGCTCAGCCTTTCAGCAGCTTCCGTCTTGCCAGGCACCGGTGAGTCTCTGGAGGGCACCAGATGATTTTTTTTGGCTGCACCTCCCTATGCAAAGGGGATTCAATAGTGTTTCCCCAGCCTCTTTGAAGCTGGTGCTGCCTTACCCTGAACATACCCTGCATGCAGGCCCTGCAGGAGCTGCTCAACTCTCTTGCCTGTGCTAAGCAAGGCCGGGGAGGCCTTTGCTATTGCATTTGCTGCTGGCTGTTCAGCCGTACAAAGCCTACTCAATGCAAACAGAAATGTTCCTTTTTTTAATGCTGGTTTGCTCAAACCTTTCCCCTCTGTTTCTCCGCTCCCAACCCTGCTCTGCTTTGCCTTTCCAGAGGTGGTTGTGTTTAAAGAGCTTGAAAAGCCTTCGAGGAACTAAGAAGGGATCCTTTGGGTTGCAAAGAGCTAAATAAATGAATATTGTGCCCTGGTCTTACAAATCCCCAGATTGCGTTACTAAAAACCAAAAGAACTGTCCAAGGGCTGTCTGGAGTTTGGAGGACAGAGTTGTCCATGTTTGTAAGCCTATGAAGCATTGTAGAAAGCTTTGCAGATGCTTTGCTTTCAGGCTCCTCTAAAGGAAGAGTTTGAGGCTGGCTTGGGAAGGGGGGGCGGCTTTGTTCCTGAAACCACAACACCTGTGATGCTGAGGTCGGTGACACTTGTACTAATGCATTCAGGCTGAAGGCCCCTTCAGCAACCTCAGTTTAACCCAAATGACAAATCATTCTAATAGGACCAAGCAATCAGGACTTGTGGTAGAGGTGATCTCTTTTATTAGACCAACTAGATTTTTGCAAAAAAAGATACTTTAATTTAAAATTGCAAATAAAAACCATTTTTATTTATTTATTTATTTATTTTTTGCAAAAATCTAGTTGGTCTAATAAAAGAGATCACCTCTACCACACGTCTTGATTGCTTTTTCCTCTAGACCAATATGGCTACAACCTGGATATCTAACAGGACTGTTCACTTGAGGGTTTTGCAGGACTTGACGTGGGCTGACTGCACGGCTCAGCACGCCTGTCTGATGGGGTGTCACTTCTCCCCATTATAAGGCTGGAGGCCGTGCTCAGTGGAGCGGGGTATGCATTTGGCAGCGTAGAGCTGCGCTAAACAACAATTTGTACTGAATGCTACTGGAGCTGCTCAGTGTTGGCAGCTTGAGCTGCAAGTGTAAGAGCTGTATGTATAACAAACGAACAGTGTGCCCTTGTTGCGAGGAAGGCTAATGGCATCCTGGGCTGCATTAGTAGAAGCATTATCAGCAGATTGAGGGAAATAATTATTCCCCTCTACTCGACACTGGGGAGGCCACATCTTTAGTCCTGCGTCCAGTTGTGGGCCCCCTACTACAGAAAGGGTGTGAGCAAGTTGGAAAGAGTCCAGTGGAGGGCAATGAAAATGTCTCGGGCTGGGGCACATGGCTGGTGATGAGGAGAGGCTGAGGGACCTGGGCTTATTTAGTCTGTGGAAGAGAAGACCGAGGGGGGATTTTAATAGCAGCCGTTGACTCCCTGAAAGGTGGTTGCCAAGAGGATGGAGCTGGACTGATCTTGGTGATGACAGAACAAGGAGCAATGGGCTCAAGTTGCGTCAAGGGAAGTTTAGGTTAGATATTAGGAAAAACCTCTTACCAGGAGGACTGGAAACACTGGACAAGGTTACCCAAAGGGGTTATGGGATTTCCTTGGAGGTTTTTAAGGCCCAGTTCTGTAAAGCCTTGGCTGAGATGATGTAGGTGGGGCTGGTCCTGCTTGGAGCAGGGGGTTGGACTAGACGTGACCTCCTGAGGTCCCTGCCAACCCTCATTTGCTACGATTCTTTTTTAGCTATTTCACCCATGCTTTTATGACAGCTGCTGTTGAAACCTAAACGATCATCACAATCCCTCAGCAGGTTAGGTTGCATGTCTGAAATTTCTGGATGGGGGAAAACAAGAAGTATGGAGAGAGAGAGAACATCCCCTAACTCTTGGCATGTGTCCTGGTGAGAGAGGGGATGTGTTGACTGAGTCGGGCACCCTGTCCTCCGGGATAGGAAAGGCCTCAAGTGTTGGATTATCTCTCTCCAATTGCAATATTTCACCATTTTGGAAACCTCAATATGAGTCTAAGCTCTTGCAGGTGGCTCTAGCTTTTGAGTTGGGGTTCAGGGCTGGTAGGTCTCGGGTGCTTGGATTTTGATACCATCTCTTAGACCTTCCACAAAAAACTGCCATTGACTTACCCATTGGAGACCTTCTTAGGGTTCCACTTCTCATGGACGATGATTTCTGCTGGAGACGCTGCAACCGATCCTTTTTCTTCAACGTGTAGGTTATATTTTCCAAGAAGCACCCGATATGTCCGAGAGGAACTGAGGAGGAAAAGAGCCAGAGAACCGTTGAGTTGTGTGGCTCCTGGCTTGCTGCAAAGCTGGATGCATCTTTGGGAAAGGTGGTTAAATAAAGGCCAGGAAGTGTTTGTGGGAGCTGTTTAAATGACAGAGCAATACCTGCTAGCAACCCTCTTGAGCAAAGTTAAGCCTATTTAACTGGGTTTAATTGATCCTTATTTGTGCAAAATTAAGAATGATAATTCAGTGCATGGTGCATATTACCCATGCTTTTGTTGGTGGGAGACCTGGGAAATTGTTGACTGTTGACCAGAAATGAGACTTTGGACTTGATGATCCTATTTGGCATGGAAGAGCCTGTTTTGAATGGGCTTTGGTTGCAGATTGTATGCTGGTTTCTGGATATAACATTAGCATAAATGGCTGGCCAAGGATCTCCAGCTGATTTACCTGATGCAGTGAGCAGCTGTCATGACCCAGTTGGTTGCAATGAGGGTTCCTCCACAGGTGTGAAACCATCCACCACTGTAAGAGTATTGAAGGGAGGCCTAGGAGCAAAATGTGAAACAACGCTAGGAGTGCAGCTGACCGGTGTCTCACAGCACGACTGGGGAAGGGGACGGGACAAGGACCATCCAAACAGTCCGGACTTTGAATCAGGATAACTGTCTTAGGAAAAGGGTTTTCCCCCAAGGTTTCTATTCAGTGTTGCTTTACCAAAGCTATTTGCATGGCTTGCTCCAGGCAGAATTTATTAGCTATAGAGAAATGTAGTGGTTAAACAGCTCTTTACTAGTCTGTGTAGAAATAGATTGGAAAATGTTGGCAGCTGCTGTTATCCAGTCCTGTGATCGGTTATAGACTTTATTGAAGCAAATAGGGGTGCACTGCTTTTCCCCCCATTATTTTTCCATCCCATTTTCAACCAAACCAACAGGGCCCTGGTTATTGATAGCTAGACCTTTCCTGGAGATCTTGAAACGGATCACAGGCAGGGCTCAGGAACCTCTTAGCAATGGATTGAGGAGATGGAGAATCACAAACCTGCCATGGCCAGCTGTATGGTCTTGCGTCGTCCCCTCCAACCACTCGGGACAAAAAGGGTTTGTAGATGGGATCCCCACAACTGAGGACTGTAAGAGAGACATGGTGGGATCCACTTTAGAAACAGGCAGGTATCAAGCCATCTCCAGTTCTATTCTGGTTGGTACAGCGTGCCTCTCACCCCGGTATCCGAGCACCTGCATGTTTCTGACTGGTAGGGGGGCGACAGGGTTAGTCTAGAGAGCAGGCAAGATAAAAAGCTGCGTATGAGCCGGATACGTACCCCCAGGGGTCAAAGTGAGTGCCACAAATAGGATCGTGATCATGGTGTCCCAGGGCAGTGTGCTGTCAATGTGCATCTCCTGAGCCGTCTTATATAGCTGCAGTGCATATCTCTGGGAGATCCCGCGTGGGATGGAGCGCTGCGCCGTCACCGATGGAAAGTTTTACAACAATGGGACGTACTTCCAGAAAAGGTCAAGGTAGCTAGACCTTGAAATCCAGGCTCCATCTGGGTTTGCTCTTTTTTGTTGAGGGGTGGGGAGAGCACCAGGTGAGCTGGAAGATATTTGTTCCAGCTGTTTGCTATCCCACAACCTTGAGTTCTGCCTGCCGATATATTATGGGAGAGGAAATTCCTGTGTGGCATTAATGTCATGACTAGTCTCAGTGCACTTTAGGTACTGCCAATCCTGACGTGTCAGGATAACTTTGGGGCAGTGCTTACAATATCCTATTTTTGGCTATTAGTACCTACAATAGCCTATTTTTATTTTTTAGAATCGATCAGGGGGTGGTAGTGTCAACTTAGCGTCATCTGGAACAGCTAATCTTCTTGTCTAGATCATACGGGGTACATCCAGCTGTTCCCATTTCAAATAAACACAAACTGGAGACACCCTGATCTAGGAAAAAAGGTGAGAGATTTTAGTCAGACTCAACCAAGCTGTCTGCTAAAATAAGCACGTTGCTGTCCAAGGCCCTTCAGTACTCTCTTATGTCTTTCTGCCATGTCGGGAGCCGTAACAGATCTATTCCTACTGCTAACGTGTCACAAAGTGGCAAAACAACAAAGAAGGAAAGACCACAAAAAATAATTTTGGGAAGAAACTTCTTCCTCCGAACACTGCTTGGAAATGCTGTTTCATGGGGAAAACTGGAAAGAGCTTGTTTTGTTCTGAACCGGAACAAAATGGAAGATGGTGACATTTCTCCCAAACCAGAAATTCCCCATTTGCGACTGTTCTGCTCCCAAATACGCAGCTGTCACTGTGAGGGGGAAACGGGATCTAGTGCCTTTGCAGCTTGCAGAAGGGGTCTCGAGGGGTGGTTACAAGAACACCAGCTCTTTGGAGTAGGCAGCTTCCCCAGCACGTACCTGTATGGTGTTGCCTGCCCTGTCAGTGGTAGATGAATACCTATAGTAAGAAAACCCCATCATGTGAGCTGAGAAACTGCTCATCAACTGCTGATTCTTGAGAGCATCTTCCTCCCCACTTTGATCCCCGTTACTATAGTATCTGAGCTACTCACAGTCTGCAATATACTGATCCGGACGGCGCGCCTTGTGTGCTGGGTGTTGCTATTGTCTATGTTTTACAGAGGCACCAGGCTTTTAGGTGCCATGCCCAGGGTCAAAGAAGAGGTCTGAGAGAACAAGAAACTGAACCTGGGTCTCCTGACCACCACCACAGAGCTATAATCATCGAATCACCCCTCACCAGGCTTTTAGGTGCCATGCCCAGGGTCAAAGAAGAGGTCTGAGAGAACAAGAAACTGAACCTGGGTTTCCTGACACCACCACAGAGCTATAATCATCGGATCACCCCTTCCCTCTCCACTTGGGGCCAGATCAAGAACGTGAGACTTTGTGGTCAGGGGCCAATGTGTTGCCTTAAATTGTCTGAGCTACTCACTCCCCACCCATGATACTTATACTCAGTCCTGTCCTTGGGATACAGCCCTAGAGCCTTCCCCAACATGTGGAGTTTGGCAGAGGCTGCACCTTGCCACTCATCATGCCTTAATGTCTGAGCTCTGAACTGCTCCAGAATTGGCTCAGAGTTGCGACATGCTGGTTGATCCCCTGCAGAGAAATGTTCAAGCAGGTAGCAAAGCCCGCGTCAAAACTCAGAGCTGTCGGCCCACGGGCTCTGACAAGATCCATCTGGCCGGTGGCAGCTAATGCTCTGGATCTGTTCCAGACGATGGGAGCTGGAAGCTTTTACTAGCCTGTGCCAATGCTTCCTGTCATCCTTCCATTTAGTTTTAAAAGGCCAATTGGTGCATGCAGAGGAGAGCGGGTGGCTTTGGAGCGTAGACGGGAATATTTTACAGTACAGCTTTCTGCAAGGATGAGTCTCTTAGCAAACGGCAAGTCACCAAGAGGAGGTCTGGGGAAAGCTTAGACAGGCTGGGGCCCTGCACGTTCTGCCTCCTGTGCTGCTTTATTTCAAGTCCCCACTGCTGGAGCTTGCAGACTTTCTTTCCATGCTCAGAGCCACTGAGCCGCCGTGCCCTTCTCTGTGTCCCAGGAAGGTAGGGAAGTGCTGTCCCCAAAACACAGAGGCACGGTGGGTTATGTGTGGTAGCAATGAATGGGCGAGCACTCAGGAGCGTCTGACTCTCATGAATTGCCAAAGCATATGGATCAGCTTTTTTCCCCTTATGCCCCCTGTTAGAGCAGCAGGCCCTGACTGTCGTAGAACAGGTGCAAGCCGGGCCCAGGAAAGCTGGGATTTGGTGGATATGGGCCGGTTGCAACTTGGGGGCTTTAGTAGCTGCCAATGGAAGCGCTCAGTCCCAAGGGTTGGCTTTTGCCTCCTCCATCATTTTTGGGGACATTCATGGAGCTCTTGTCCAAAAGCACAGAGCTTTTGGGCCTGTGTTCCTTAGGGACTCTTCTGTATGCATCTTATAGCAGAGCACACAGGGTAAATCCGTATTGTCCGTTGAAAAGTAAGAATGAAAGAAACAAGCCCAGTTTGATTCCAGTTTCCATCCTCACCCCTCTTTCTTTGTGTGTAATCAAAATCTACCTTAGTTTGACTGTGGGGCAAGGAGTCTTCCAAGGAAACAGGTTGAAGCACATTCATCAGCAGGCTTATTCTGTTGCATAGGGAACTGACTGAGAGCTCTTCAAATTGAAGTTGAGGTAGATGGGAGATCCCTTAGTCTTTGTGGAATGTAATACTACGCTTGGTCTATGCACTGGACCTTGTGTTAACAAGAATGCTGGTTTGGGATGTTTCAGAGCTGAGAGAGCCCTTTTGAGTAAATTGCTAGCCGGGGGAATCAAGCCAATGTAATATGAATTTCTTCTCTTCATTCAACCAATAGAATATCTTTGGTTGTTTCTCTGTGTCTATGATTTTGTCGTCTTTTTGTTCTACTTTGGCTTTCCAATCTCTCAGCAAAAGATTTCTAGGCAGCTAATCCCCAGAAATCACAGACTCATAGAAAATGAGGGTTGGAAGGGACCTCAGGAGGTCACATCTAGTCCAACCCTCTGCTCCAAGCAGGACCAGCCCCAACTAGATCATCCCAGTCAGGGCTTTGTCTACCTGGGCCTTAAAAACCTCCAAGGATGGAGATCCCACCACCTCTGGACTTGTAGAAACTCTTCTTGTTACCCTTCGTGTCCTTTGCTAGCTGCTACTTCAGTGGTGCTTTGGCCTTCCTGATTTCATCCTTGCATGCCAAAGCAACACTCTTATACTCCTCCCTAGTCATTTGTCCAAGCCTTATAAGCTTTGTTTTTGTGTTTTAGCTCACTGAAGAGTTCCCTGCTAAGCCAAGCTGGTCTTCTGCCATACTGGCTAGCCTTCCTGCGCATCAGGATGGTTTGTTCCTGTGCCCTCAGTAACGTTTCTTTAAAATACAACCAGCTCTTCTGGGCTCCTTTCCAACCTCAGGCTGGCCTCCCAAGGTATCCTGCCCATCAGTTCCCTGAGCAAATCTAAGTCTGCTTTTCTGAAGTCCAGGATCCTTACTATGCTCCTCTCCTTCCTTCTTTTTCTCAAGTTGATGAGAGTTAGGTTCCCACCTACCTTTAAAACTCTTTCTGTCTGGCCAATAGCTAGTGGACTAAGATTGGGGCTGGTAGATCCTATTACAACACAAATAATAGTTATCACACAAAAAGTAAGGTTGGAAAGAACCTGGAGAGATCACATATTGTACTCCCTGCACTGAGTCGGGATCAAATATACCTCCAGCAGGTAATGGAGACAGTCCGTTTTAACTCTGGGTCAGTAACACGCTGGGATTCGAGAGTTCAGTCTCAGTTTATTTCCTTCAGTAGATTTACATGGAAAGCAAGGATGGAAAAAAGACCATGAACCTGAGACGGATCCCACGTTGTTGTAAACCAGTAAATCAGTTCAAGTTGATGGCACAAAGCATGTTTACACCAGGTAGAAATCTGGCCTCCAGAACTGAATAACTGCGCGAGAGACACCATGGAAGCAGAGCTGAACCCAAGGAAGTTCTGATGAGAGGGGTTATTAGGCTGTTATGGGATTATAAGTTTCATTACGAGCAGAATCCCTTTGCATCCACATTGTCTGGTGGAGGAAAAGAAAAGAAAAAAGTGTTTAATTATCATTAATAAGCTCCATTTGCCAGAGTAATGAGTTCCTAGTGAAGTGAGTTCTGGCATACAGCCATGCTGTCTGCTCTCAGGATGGTGTATCCTGCACTATATCAGATCTCTAGGCCAAGAGTGACAAAGATGGGAGTTTAAAGTAAGGCTGGAAGGACTTTGTCAGGTGCCTCAGTAAATTGCCTGAGGTTTCATTGCTGCTGAGAACCAAGTAGACCTCACTCATATCCCTCTGAAGTCCATGGAGGCTTCAGCACTCTTCAAAGCTGGAACACTTTTTCTGGTGCCTGAGTAAGGATATAGAGGTCTCGCGCTCAGCCCCTGTTTTTTAACCATCATTGATATGGAGAAAATTTAGGCTCACGTAGCTAAGTTGCATGAGCTCACATGTAGCCGCTTTAATGTGCATTAACGTGCTGTGCGTCCATTGTCCCATACCACACGAATGCACGTTAAGCGTCTACATGTGGGCTAATGCTACTTAGCTAATTGTGCCTAAATTTGGTACTTGCTTTAAGCAAGGATCAAATTTAGGCGGGATTAGCCTAAAATCACCCTTTTTTAAGGCACATTAAGGGCATGCATGCGCGTCCACGCCCTTAATGTGCCTTAAAAATGGAAATTTTCGGCTAATCCTGTTTAAAAGGGCCACGTGTAGACAAGCCCGTTGACTCCTTGCCTAACTTCCTCACACCTGGGATTTGGGCCTAGAGCTCTAAAATGGAAGGAAAGGGGAAGAGGGGACTGGAGGGCTAG